CGCCAGCATCACCCCAAAACTGTGCACAGCCCCCAGCCTGACACAGAGCAGGAGCCCAACGGGGGGCGCTGCCCGGAGCCCAGGATGACGCTGGAACCTCCGGTCACGGCGCTGGAGCAGCTGGAGCCGAAGCTGCCCCCCCCACCCCCAGGTCCACAGCGGCGCGCCAGGCCGCCGGCCACTCCTCCGCTCGCAGCAGCCCTGCCTCCTCCGACGGCTGCCAAGAAAGGCAGGGTCATGGCAGGGCCTCCGCTCTCCGGGGGCCCCCTCACCCAGCCCCGATACTCACAGATGGTGATCTGGCTGGTGCATGCCCCAGACATCCTGGGGGAGAAGAGGAAAGAGGAGGGAACTCTAAGACAGGCTGCGAAGAACGCGCCCCGGCTTCAAGCCCGCAGAAGCGCTCACCTGCCACACCCCCTCCTTAAAGCCCTTCCCAGCGGAATGGGGGGCTCAGCGACTGGGAGTGTCAGGAAATTCTCAGAGGCTTGGGGGGCAACCCCCACCCCCCCCACGGTCCCAGCTCCCCCACGCCCACCGGCACTCCTCGCCCTCCAGCATCCTGCGGTAGGTGGCGATCTCCACGTCCAGCGCCAGCTTGGTGCCCATCAGCTCCTGGTACTCGCGCAGCAGCCGCGCCAGGTCCTGCTTGGCGGCCCTCAGCGCCGCCTCCAGCTCGTCCAGCTTGGCCTGGGCGTCCTTGAGGGCCAGCTCCCCATGCTGCTCGGCGTCGGCGGTGGCCTCCTGCAGGCCAGCGTTCTGGGAGAGGCGCGGAAGGCGGCGTCACCGCGCGGCCTCCCAAAGCAGCCACTGTGTCCCTCCGCGACAGGACGCGGAGACGGACACCACGGAAGACGCAGGCGAGGCGGAGGCGGGAGGACCCCCCCAGGAAGCGCAGGCAGCTGCCTGCACCCCCACGCACCCCCATGCGCTTCCGCTGCACCCCCACCCACCCTGGCTGCCTTAGGGGACAGCAGCCAGAGGGACCCATTCAGGGGTGCCCCCTGCTTCTCCCTGGCCCGGGCCTCAGCGCCTCCCTGGGCAACCCCTGGCCCCCACGGCCCGTCCAGCTCTGCTGGCCCCTTCAGGCCCTTCTGCCGATCGCCGCTGGAGAGCCACCAGGGGCCTGGATTTGGGTGAGAACAATCCCATTCGGATGCTTTGTCTTCGTGTGCAAGCCTGCTGCTCAGAACGCACCTCTCCCTCGGGGAAGTTCTGAGGAAGGACAAGGCCGGCCTCCTGGGCCTGCTAGGGGACCTGCCCCGGGGGTCGGGAAAGCAGCCGCACCCCAAACCCCCCCCCCCAGGGCTCTCGCTGCTCTGCCATGCAAGCGCCCTGTGGCGGGAACACGGTCTCCACTGTGCAGATGGAGCAGCCGAGGCCAGGAAGGTGGGCAGCCGCCGTCGGCCGCCACAGCCCAGCTTCCTGCCCTCCACGGCTCCTCCCGGGGCTCACGGGCGGTGCCCTGGGCCTGGCACAGGGGAAGCCAGTTCACGATGCTTGTGGGTGAGGAGAATGAAGCGCTGGCTGCCTCCCTCCGCACGAGGGGTCCTCACAGGGAAGCCACAGGCTACGTGGGCCGTGGCGGCTCCCTCACTCAGGACCCACAGAATCACACTCCCAGCCCTAGGCCGGTGTCCTTGATCTGGTTGGAGCCCCAGGAATTGCTTGCCCACAGACACGCCCAGGGAGCCGCAAAGCAAGAGTCCGAATACACGGGCAAAGCAGGGTGGCAGCAAACCAAGCAGGACTGGCATGGGCAGGGGTGACAGGCTCTCAGCACCCCTGTGCACCCACAACCTGGGGGGGGCGTCCTGCCCAGTGTGCACAGGCACGTGTCTGGAGAATCAGGCTGAAGAAGCTGGGGAGCAGGCTGACTCTGGCACAGCTCCCCGCCTCTCTGGGTCCCAAAATCCGTTCTCTGGGCAACTTGATGACTTGAGATGGATCATCTTTCCCATCTGAAAGTCCAGCTGCCAGCAGGGGCAGGAATCACAGCTCCCCTGCCAGCCTCGCCTCAACCTCTCCGCCCCTTTCTGCGCCAGCATCACCCCAAAACTGTGCACAGCCCCCCTCTCTACGGCCCAAGTCTCCTGCTCCGATGCCCCGACTGGGGCCCAGAAAATTCAGCGCCCAGCCTCAAAGGCCCTGCTGGGCCTAAGGAAGGGGAGTCAAGTGCAAAGGCTGAATGTCCCTCCAAGGATTTCACGAGAGGTACACCTGGGCGTGGGTGACCCCATGAGCGCACCCCCAGTTGTGTGGAGTCCATGCAGGCAAGAACACCAGGAATTCTGAATGCCTCTCCGAGGGAGGTTCTCCCAGCCCCAGCTGGCCACACGCCCAGCGTGATCGAGGTTTTCACCAAGCCAGCGGTGAGCGTCACACAGAGTCTTCATGGGGGGGGGGGGCCTGGGCGCTCTGGGGGGGCCTCACCTGCTTCTTCACTTTCTCAATCTGGCTCTGCAGCCTCTGAATGGCATGTTGCAGCTGCGTGATCTGGACTCTGGTCACCTCCACGCTGTCCCCGTGAAACTGGACAGACGCCTGGAGCTCCTGGTACTGAGGGGGGCATGGGGCACCATCAGTGGGGAGGGCCCTCACCTTGGCCCTCAAGACTGTGAGGCAGCCGAGCGCCTGGCGCTTGGCTCCCTGTGTTGAATTTGGGTCCCAGCTGAGGCCAGGGCGTGGCGGGAAGTCAGCTGGCCTCCCCGCATCACCTCCCTCCTGGAGCTTTAGAAGGTGGGCACCCCGGGCTGGGCACGCTGACCCCCAGCCTAGCACCTTGCTCTGGTACAGCGCCTCGGCCTCGGCCTTGCTGGTCCGGGCGATGTCCTCGTACCGGGCGCGGACCTGGGCGATGATGCCGTCCAGGTCCAGGCAGCGGTTGTTGTCCATGGACAGGACCACGGATGTGTCGCTGGCCTGGGTCTGGAGCATGCTCAGCTCCTGCAGGAAGAGGGCTGAGTGTCCCTACCGTGGCTCCCTCCCCACAGAAACCCAGGGCAGGTGGCAGCCCACCGGGGCAGCCCCCATTCGCCCAGGGTGGCGGTGGGGCTGTGCCCTCATCTGGACTGAGACTTGCAGGAGATGCGCCGCAATGCTTCTTGCAGCGCGGACATCAAAGGACAGTGTCCTACAGGGCCAGAAACCATTGGGTCCCCATCGTCCCCTGATCCCGCTCCAGCCAACGCAGCTTCTGTGCATTTCCTCAAAGACACCAGCTGCTGCTGGGGGGCCGCCCTGCCTGGGATCCCAGCTCCCGCCCTCCTGGCATCTCCCCCTCCTCCAAATATCTGCTCCAAAGGTATCTTCTGAATACTGCCTGCTCTGGCCCTTACTAGAACCTGCCACCACCTACGCCCAGAGCCTCAACCTTCCTTCCTTGTTCTAATTCTCCTTTTCCCACCCAAAATACACTACATGAGTCACTTTTTGCTATCAATTGCCGATCTCCCAGTAGCCAGCGAGTTCCATGGCTTTGTCTAATGAGTCGCTGGTCCAGCAACGCCCTTGTGAATTCTCAGTACCGTTTGTTGAGAGACTTAATAACCAGGATCTAAGTCACCCTAGCCAGGCGGCACTTCTCACCCACCCCCCTGAGCCCAGGGAGCCCTTCCACCCTGCGCCTTGCCTCCGCTGCCCCACTTCCTTGCTGCAGCGCACCCCACTTCCCCCGCTGCCAGGGCCTCACTTCTTCATATAGGCGCCTCAGGAAGCATATGTACTCTCTCAGAGACTTCAGCTTATCTTCCATTTCCATCTTGCTTAGGAAAACCCCATCCACATCCTGGAATCAAGGAGACAGAAGCCGTGTACCCCACTCTTTGTAGGTCCCCTCTTGCTCAGGAGTTCTGTTCACATACTGCCTGGCACCCACCCACCATCACTAGAAACCCAACTTCTCCCATCTCCCAGTTCCACCATGCCCTGCTCTCTCTTGCTGATGCTGCACCACACCACCTCCAGGAAGCCCTCCCTGATTGATCCCAACTAGTTTTGCTTCTTCCTCTCCCTTCGCACCCTCTCTCCTGCATTAACATTCAAGGTTCATCACACAGCCCCTCAACTGGATTTTGTCTTGAGGTTCTTGATGTCCCATTTTCTTGGGAGACACCCCCCCCCGGGCATGATGATAGATAGGTATCCTGCAGTCAGACCTCCCACCCCCTGACACCCCAACTAGGACTGGGCTCTTTGTGTGTGCTAGGTGCTCAGGGTCTGGGTGGAGCAGCTGACTCCACCCTTACCTTTTTGAGGACCACAAAGTCATTCTCCACTGTGGCACGCTTGTGGGCCTCCTGCTCATACCTGTCAGGTAAGGAGAGAAGGGTGCACCTGAGGTGAGGTCAGAGCCCACGTCCTCCCGTGAGCACGGCCTCCTGACGAGACCACTTTCACACTGAGATGCTCCAAAGCAGAACACGCGACCAGCCTTTGTCTCCGCCTCTCCTACCAGGGAACTTTTATCATGTCCTAGCCCTGTCCCTAGGCCACCCTGCGAGCTCATGTCCCCTTCATGACACACAGCCACTTTGCTTCGGGTTGACAAGACACACTCAAGTAGTTCACCGTCATTATCTGAAGCAGGCAATTCAGATTTGATCCGATTATGTGACTTACGCAACGCCACACTTGACTAGCTGACCTAAGCAGATCTAAAACCCAGCTCTCGTGACTCCCATCTGGGCTCTTCCGGGGCCCCCCACCTCAGGCCCCACCCTCCAATGTCTCTAGGAGGTGAGGGGCAGGAGACATATCCCACTTTACAGATATGGAAACGGAGGCAAGGAGAGGTGAAACGCCTCACCCGACCCACACCACTTCTTGCACACAGGCAGGGAACTCGAGCCGCCCGTTGGTCCAGGGCTCTCTCCACAACCCCAGGTGACCCAGGCCAAGAAACCAGAACCACAGCCCAGCAGTGAATCATGCCGCTGACCTGGGGATGGTGCCACTAAGTAGATTTCCTTCTACCCTGAGACCAGAGAACATCTGAGTCACTTTAGCCCACAGCCTGCTCGACCAGAATTTCTCACCAAAAACCTACCAAGGCCTCACCAAAACCTACCGAGGCATTGTTTGCCCAGGCCTTTCCCAGCCCTGGTCAGAGACCCAGCCCTGCCAGCTGGAGCTGTTGAAAAGGAGTCTCTCTCCGGGCCGGGCCAGCAAGGACTTCGGGGCTCCCTCACCTGTAGCCCTGGGGGCTGATGCAGTCGGAGGGGGTGGGGTGGGAGGGCATCAAGGGGGCCGGTCATGTGTCTCGGGGGCTCTGTCTGTGGGGCCTGCCGGCTGACAGCCCAGATCCACACCCTCCCGGCGCCCCGCCCCAGGCCCCAGGAGGGAAGTTGGGGCTGCCTACTTGGCCTTATATTCCTCCTCCTGGTCAAAAAAGGTCTTCAGCTCAGCGTGCAGCTGCCCTTGTTCTCTCTGAAGCTGCTCCAGCCACTTCCGGAGGTGGGCCACGTAGCCCTCAAAGAAAGAGTCCAGGCTCTGGGGGCTGGTGTTCACCCCCTGCTGCTGCAGCAGGTTCCACTTGGTCTCCAGGACCTTGTTCTGCTGCTCCAGGAACCGCACCTGCAGCACAAATGGAACATTCCTGAAGCTCCTGTGGGGCCCCTGGGCACAGCCTCTAGGAGGCAAAATCTCGGGGGCCCTTCAGCAGCCCAGCACGGCCAGGAGCAGCCCCAACCTTTCCAGAGACTGAGAAGCGTCAACAGCGAAGGGTCTGCCCACTGCTGGCCCTCCCCTCTGCCCTGAGCCCCAGCTCGGAGCAACAGGCCTCTGTATGACCAGAGGTCCCCTCGGTCCACAGGACAGAGTTCCTGGCTGCAGAAGCGGCAGGAGACCAGGCCTCCCAGCCCCTCCTCCGCGAAGAACAGTCCCCAGGGAAGACGAGCAACAGCTTAGCTGAGGTGGCCCTCACCTTATCAATGAAGGAAGCGAACTGGTTGTTGAGGGTTCTGATCTCTCGGGTCTCCTGAGTCCGCACCGCTTGGTACTGGGGGTCAATCTCAATCTTCAGTGGGGTCAGCAGGTTCTGGTTGACGTTCACTTCCTGGATGCCCCCCGGAGGGCACGGGAAAGGCCTGGGCCCACCTGTGCTTTCCCCAAACTGCACCCCCCTCCCTCCCCTCATCCCCCAAGTCCTCCCAGGGGACCGTCCTCGGCATCCCCTGAAGGGACTGAGGCTTCTGCTGCTGAAGCCTCCCCTGCTGCGGCCCCACGAGCCAGCAGAACAGGCTGAGCGGGCGCTGAAGCCCCTCTGGGCCCGGCACGGGGAGAGAGACATGGCAGAGACCCACGGCCACACGCTCGCACAGACGGAGCACGTTCAGTGTGCTGAGTTCCTGCCCTGAGGCTCTGGGCACGAGACTTTTATCCCCTCCCGTGCCTGGGCTGGGCCTTGGAGAGCAAGATACTCTCAGCCTGACTGTCTGTCGCTGGCTCCAGCTGACCTCTTCCGACACACCTGGAGCCGAGGAGGCCGGCACGTGCAGGGAGGCTTCCGCCCTCAGAGCTCCCCGGCTGGGCTGGCAGGGGAGACGGAGGGCCCCAAGACAAGGAAGCAGCCAGAGACCTGGACTTGAGTGGGGCTGGGAGGGGTGACTGCGAGCCGAGTCACGGAAGGGCCCGGGAGGAAGGCGCCCTGGAGAAGGAGGCAGGGGAGGAGCGGCGAGTGGAAGGGGCACGGAGGCGGGGGACGCTCGGCTCGAGCACGAGTGCCCTTGGAGCTGGACAGCGAGAATGAAGCTCCACAAGGGAGAACCTGCCTATAAAGGTAGAAGAGGAAGGTGCTCTGCGGCACTAGGAGGTTAATAGAGGTGGTGTCATCCTTGACTAAAAGACACTCCAGGATTTGGAAATGAACAGAAAAACAGGGTGTCCAAGTCCCTCCTCTTGCCCAACCCAGCAATCATCCACAAGGCGCCACCCCGCTCGGGCCAGGCCTCTCCAGTCTGGCTCCCAGGGCCTCTCCGAGCCCAGGCGGTGCCGACTTCACAAGACGCCTGCAGACCCCCGGCCGGGGCCCGGCGCCGCGGGCGACACGTCGGAGGTTGCCAATGTGCCCCGGGAACAGAAGCAGGGCACAGCTGGCTGCCCCGAGATCTGCCGAGTCGCGGGACCCCAGGGCTCCCCGGCACTCAGTGGCCACTGCATCCCCTGTGCAAGCCCCCAGGCAGGAAGCCCGCAGCGGCGGCCATGGGAGTCCCCCCACGGCTGGCGAGCAGTCGGGCCACTCCGATTGTGAGGAATGTGAAACACGTCTCTGTGCATGGCCAAGGTTATTTCTCCTCGCCCCTCCCCACCCCCACACACACCTTCTTCGTGCACCCTGAAGCTAGGATACTGGGGCCTTTGATAATCCAGCTCAAAGCAAGAACAGAGACTGCCTGTGCAGCAGCCTCAAATTCCTGTCATTAAACACTCAGGAGAGGAGCTATGAGGAAGTCAGCCCCACAGAAACTCCACCAGACAAGATGAGGAAGTCTCCCCTCCCTCCAGGGGATTAGCAGCCCCTCCCTCCTTCCCCTCACCCCACCACATCACCCCTAAATAAAACTGAACCCAGGATGACCTCAAGGGGAAGAAGAGGTCTGGATGTAGGTGGAGAGAACAAAGGAAATCCAGGGGCTGAGAGGCCCCTGAGGAAGAAGAGAGGAAAGTGCCAAGTAGGAGACTCAGGTGCTCCAGGGGAGGGGGCCCTGTGGAGCCCCAGAGTCCAGGACCAGAATCTGGGAAGTAGGTTGAATTTCCTCTTGGGCTCACGTCCTCGCCCGGCGCCGCCTCACGGAGGCAAGGACAGATCTACTCCTCATGGGCTCCAAAATGTATCTGAGCAGGATCCCATGGCCTGGACTCTGCCACCTCCCCCCAGCATCCAGGGGGAGCACGGGGGCCCCCTTGGGAACCACCTCCCGGGAACTTCCCCACGCAGTCACATCAGAGAAGAGCAGCGCCAGAACACGTCAGGGCCCTCGTTTCACACTGCAGGACTCCAGGTCCGGGGGCTGTAGGGAGGGGTGCACACTGAACCTGTGGGTAACCTACGAGATCGCACCAGGTGACCTCCAAGCCTGCTTTGATCCATCCCTCTGTGGTCTGAGTGACTTGCTCAAGGCAGCCCACACAGCAATCAGGCTGGAGCAGGACCCCCACCAGCCCAGCGCCCTCTCCTGAGGTCCTAACACAACGACTCCCTTGTTCTCCCCACCCAGCTCAGGGTCGTCTGGCAAACACCAGGCATTAAGCCCTTGTTTGAAGAGATGGTTTCTGATCCTTGACAGTTGCCCCCAGGGACCTTCTTAAGTCCCCAGGTCCTCAAACAGTGTTGTAACATATGTTTTCTTCTTTAATAAAAAAAAAAAATTAGGCCCCTCCCTGGTGGTTCAACAGGTTAAAGCACAGCACTACAAAGCTATCCACAGCCACTGCAGCAGGAGTTCGATCCCCAGCCAGGGAGCTGAACCCCAGGGCGCAGCAGACCTCTCCTGTCTCCCCGCTGCTCTCCTCGGCAGTGTATTTCAGTGGATCTGCCTGTTCTGCTCCCCACACCTCTGGCCTGTGCCCCAGTTCTTATGTGCATAAATAAATTATCTTTTTTTAAAACCACGCAGTAATGAAAAGAATGAAAAGCAGCTTAGAGACAGGAAGCTGGACCCTCGCAGTCTGAGTAACTGGTCCCTGTCCCAAAGGCACACAAAGAAGCCTCGCTTCATGCTGCAGCAGGTACGCAAATGGCTCAGGGGACAGAGCCCCGCTAGGCGGCAAGGCCAAGGCGCCACAGGGCCACAGCTCTCCTCGGCCTGCTCGCTGCAGGCTCAGCAGCTTCACTCTCAGCACCCTCCACAGCCCCTGCACACCGGCCCCTTCCGCAAGAAAGCCCAGGCCAGGAAACCCTGTGGCTCCCAGAAGCCTCTCCTCTCACTGCCCCACCCTAAGTTCAGCCCTGCTCACAGCAGTAACTCCACAGCCTCTTTCCTGCAAGCCCATTCTGCATGTGCATGAGACTTTTTGACCCAAATGCCACTTACTCACATTTACTCAACACAGTAAGAACTGAGCACCTACTATGTGCCAGCCCTGTACCGGGAGAGGGGAAAATGAAGGTCCAGCGCCTGCCCCAAGAAAGCTGAGTCTGATGGAGAAACTGACATTGAACAGGGAATCAGATCGGTACTTAATTGCAATTATGATAGGGAGAGAAAAATATAGGGCATGAAAGAGGCCTCCTCTAGCCTATTCCCTATTCATTCTGGAACATGCCAGGAACACCTCAGCGCCTTTGCACCTGCCATCCCTCTTCTTGGAATGCTCCTCCCAGATACCCGCATAGCTATGGCAATCTTCCCGGCTGCCCTGAACCAAAACTGCACCGAGTGTATCCTCCCCTGACACTTCTTCTCCCTCCCTGATTGATTTCTTAACACCTGTCACTTCCTAACATGCCACTCACTTACTGTCTGTTTCTCCCCGTGCCAGGATCTGCGTCCCAAGAGCCAGGGCTCTGTCTCTGCTCCCTTCTGAATCCTCTGCCCATAAACCAGCACACAGGCAGTGCTCAGGACCTACGTACTGAGAGAGTGCGTCCCGTCCAGTTTGGCTGATCTTGCAATTTCCTTCCATCTTCCAACCCCTGGAGAGCCTGGTGACATTCAAGTGTGTCTCCAAAACATTCGTCACTTCCCATCCACCCACCCACCCCCCAAGCTTGAGAACAGCGTACAGTTGAGAAACACGATCGTGTAAGGGGGGCAGGGAGGAAAGGGATTGAGCGCCTACCACGGGCTTAGCATTGAGTTAAGTGATACAGGTGGGTAAGGTGCATCCTGCCCCGACAGAGCACAGAGCCCCGTGGAGGGTGCACGTGTGATCACAGGAGAGGGGTGGCCAAGGGGGACCGCCCCACCTTGCAGGCTGGAGCGTAATAGGGGAGGGGCCTCTTTTCACTTGACTCAGTGGCCTGGTCTTGGGAGAAGCCAGGACGAGGCCTGTGGCATACTGAGACTCTCCCCTGCGGCTTCACAGCCTCCCAGAGTACGTCTTTGGGTACCAGACTCAGCTGCGTGGGAGGAACCCCTTTTTTGCACCTTTCTTCAAGAACATCAGAAACAGGGCCCTCCCTGGTGGTAAAGTGGATTAAAGCGAAGCACTATAAAGCTGCCACAGCCACCGCAACTCAAGTTCGATCCCCGGCCAGGAAGCTGACCCACAGGGCACGGCAGACCTCTCCTGACCCACCCTCTGCTCCTCTCAGCAGTGGACTTCAGTCGATCTGCCTGTTCTGCTCCCCACTCTGTCTCTGGTGAATCTTTTCACCCCCCACACCTCTGGCCTGTACCCCAGTTCTTGTATACATGAGTAAACAAATCTTTCCAAAAACATCAGAAACACAGCGAATGTCTCACTGAAGCCCAGATAGCCTCTGTCTGGTCTATAAACCTTCCGAGAGGATTTAGTCAAGAAGCTACTTTATCCAACAAGAAAGCAATGGTGTGCCAGGCCTCACCCTAAGAACTGTACATATATTAAGCATCAATACTGACAACTATGAAGTAGGTGCTAATCTCACCACCATCTT